CTCTTGTTTCATGGGGATTCAGGAGAGGTGACAGCAGATGCCTGTGCTCAATCTTCACCAGTCACAACATTTCAAAGCACCATGCTCATCAAGGCAGCAGGGGACTGGGTCAGAGATTAATAAAGTGGTAACAACCTTTGGAACATAATGAACCACTAAATACATATGAATCTACCAAATGATCCTGTTGTATTAGCAGTTAAAATGAAGCTAGAATGTAATTATTAAAATATCACAGGAATTACTTTTCTGATCATTTAGCCCTTTAGGAGAGAACTGTATTTAATTTTGATTTTCACATTTAAGGGACACGTATGGGAAAGCCCAAGAATAATGGAACCCAAAAGTGATTTAAGAAACAGATTACCAGGGCTCTGAGTAAGAATGATTTAACTTGAAGGATAATAGGGAACATTATTGTCAAGTACATGACTGATTTTCCAAGAGAAATACTCATTAACTGCTCTCTGTTTCCATAATGGGATAACAAAATAAAACAAGCTGAAGATACACCAAGAAAATGAGTAATTAAACATTAAAATGGGCATTAGGAGAAAAAGATGAATTTCTCTCTTAGAAATATTTACAAATTCTATTCGTGAAATGGAAGGTAGTCATGGGCCAGATGACAACTGAATGTCCCTTCCTTCTCCAAAATATGCAGCTTATCACCACATGAATATTAATATCTGCATTATGTTAACAAGCCCTCCCCCGCCCCGACAAACTGTGGCTTAGCCCTTGGCAGGTGGAATTATGCAGGCTTCTGTCTGAACTCTTTAATTATTTGCCTCATTAGAAAGTCTAGCCAAAAACAGGTTAACTGACTAAAGATCCCAAGAAACAGAGGAGAGGCAATTAGGAATGCAGGCCTTTACAATTCATTTAGATGCTCAGAAACCAATTATTTTAAATTACAGTGCATTAGGGGAGAGCTCAGGAGAGGGAACTACTCTTACGCTAAATGTCTCTTTTTGAGTGGGCCTCAAATCTAGATGATTTGCAGCTAGAAGTAATTACTTAAAGCACAGTTCTGTTTTGCTAAAAACGTGAAAAACCACCCAAAGCAAAGTACTTGCAAACGAATTCATACATTAAAGAGTCAAAATCAGTATTGTGAATATTCATGTTTAGATGTTGAAGGTATTCAATGTTTCAAACTAAGAAAAATTGAACTGGAAAAAATACATCTTAAGTGCAATACAACAAATATATAAAGTTTCAAACTTTGATCATTAAATTTCATATTTATTATAAAACACTCAATTTATAATTTAATATAATAAAGATATTTACATGCCATATGATGATTTGCAAGACTCTGACTAGATATTAACTACCTATTTGATTTATTAAGTTACTGGAATGAAATATATAGTATTCACATCAACCAAACATCCCAATAGTGAGTCAGGTAGCAGAATTTTATCCGAAGGTGGTGACCAACAACCACTGTACTCCCATCCACCACCAAGACTCATCAAAGATCCTAGTTCTGCAGAATGGGAGCAGGGGGTGATTACTTCCTGGATAGTTACAGCTAATGTTCTGTATATGTTGAGGCCCTTCCTTAGTAATTCTATATGAAAAAATGTTTTTGTTTTACTTTCTTAAGCAATGTAAGGGCCTACATGGTATACAAATAATTTTTTAATTGAAAGTTCACAGGAAAATGGCCTTTACTCAGAAGTAAATTTACTCTTTATCAAAAAAACGTGTAAAACATACATGTATGTTAAGTAAACATTTCTTTGAACGTCAGCTAAATGAACTAAACTGAGTGAAAAGACTGGAGAAAATCGAAGTAACTGCTTAAAGGTCTGTATTACTTGGCCTCTGCTTTTTCTAATCAGCAGCAGTAGTTTCTAGTGTGTTGCTGTCTGTCATCTGGTCTTTGCTTACAAAATAAACAGTAATTTCATTAGTAAAAAAATTTTTCTAGAAGATTTGTCTGCACCAACCCCAGGCTGAATTTTTTACATTAAGAATTCATTTCTTATTACACGCTACATGTATCTTTGAAACCTTGGGTATAAGTTTGTTTTACAAATGAAATCATTTGAATTACTGAATTTGCTTTTTTTAAAGAAATTATGTGACGAGGAAAATAAAAAACAACGTGGTTAATTTTTGTCATGGCAAGGATATATTTTCTTTTAGTTCTCTATTTGAAATCTCATTATTTATATATTAGATTTTTAGGATGTGAGATATACAAAATATTAACAAACCAAGCAAGTTTAAATGAAGAATCCAATGATCGACTACATTTACAATGGATCTTGAATGAATTTATGATTTTTACCAAAATTAATTTCATATAGTCATAAAATATTGAGCATGATTTTGACATAAAATGTAATTACACAAGGGCCCATGTGGGATTAATAACCAAGAATTCAGTAACGGTAAGTGCAATCTTGGAGTGATTCAAAAGGTACTTCTATGATGGAATATCTGGTAATTATATTGGATAGTAGATTTCTACTCTGTTTACCAGAAGCTAATCTTATAAAAATACGGAGAGTAGTTCTTATTTAAATGATGATCTCTTCATAACTCCCAAATGAGAGCACTTAAACTGAGAAAGTATAAAATCTGCAATGCAGGATTCTGCTTACAAAGAATGTGTACTTAATTTAGTTAACAATACAGGGGGCGCCAAAAAATGTATGCACACTTTAAGTATGACGTTCACTCAAAAGATGACATTAATCAAATGAAGGCTAGTACCACCATACGCCAGGAAGGACAGTCAAAGAAAATCGTGGAAGCACAGTTGAGCAAACGTCACACTGCACATTGCTACCATAATTTAATTCAACTTCAAAAAGCAATACATAGATAACAACTCTTAAAATGTGACATTTTTGGCACCCCCTCTATATCTTATTTAAGAATTTATTTTCAAGTGAAAATTCTTACGTATATTTTCATATTTGTATTATTTGAACTTTATTTTCCAGATTCTTTCAATTCTGTGAGGTATTAGCATACCAGTTTTCCACAGTGTCAACTCACTTTCATCTGAAGGCTCTGTGACTTATTAATAAGTATCTAAAGAAAGCATATGCCACTGTGCCAACTATTAAAGCATTTCTGTGGCCCGATGACAGAGCCGACTTTGAGGAAGTACCTTTAGTTCATCCTTTCTTGTCCCTCTCGATACTCTCTTCAGGACCCACATGCACAGTGTTGGGCTCTAGGCAGTGTGTAGAATGAATAAAAGGCTAAATGACAATATGTTTCTTGAGAAGGGACCGTTGCTTGTCTAGGAAATGTTAAATCCATAAAGGTCACATCACCAATGCTTACAAAAGATCTTGTCATATTTATCAACATTTGAAACGTACTGGGTAACTTGTCAGTTTCTCATAACTTGTATTTCCTTCAAATATTTTCTCTGGGATCACAGAAGTGTACGGAATCTTTTTGTTGTTGTTGTTTTCACTGTCTATACTCAAAATTCTGAGAGTGGAGGCTCATTGGCATCAATGCTGAAGTTTTTTCTTTGGCCAAATTAGACATCTTTCCTACTAAAACCTTGACTGAATAAGGGACTCACTAACTAGACATCCAGCCAGAAAAAAATTACTAATTATAAGTGTTTTTAAATGAATAATAATAATAAAAGATTCTCTTTAAAAGTGAAAGGTGAGTTATTGACAAATCTCCATACTTGCCACTAAAGAGCTTAAACAGTGATATCTTGTAAGTAGGATACCAGTGGTTGTCTTTTCAGTACATGAACCTCTCTTTTATTTTATTTTTGAGTCAGTATCTCATTCTGTCACCTAAGCTGGAATGCAGTGGCACAGTCACTGCTCACTGCAATCTCAGACATCCTGCCTCAGTCTCCCAAGTAGCTGAGAATATACCACCATGCCTTGCTAATTTTTTGTAGAAACAAAGTCTTGCTATTTTGCCCAGGCTGGTCTCAAATTCCTGAGCTCAACTGATCCTCTTTTCTTGGCCTCCCAACATGCTGGAATTAAAGGCAGGAGTCACCACTCCTTACAGACCTCTCTTTTAATAATGCAGTTTTGTTCCAGAATAACAAGGGTCACATACTGTATGTCATCTCTTACTGCATGAGAAAATACCTCCAAACTTTAGTGGCTTAATCATTTATTACTTCACATTTTCTCTGGGTCAGGGCCTTGTGTTGCTTAGCTGTGTGGCTTTCAGGATTCATTAAGTTGTAGCTAGGTTCTCATTCAGGGCTGTGATCATCTGAAAGCTGGCCAGGGCCGTTGGGTCGTCATTCGGGGCTGTGATCATCTGAAGGCTAGACTGGGGCCGTTGGCACGTGACATCAGTTCCCCCTGCCTGGGTCTCTCCCAAGACTGGAGTGTCCTCACTCCAGGGCCACTGTCCCTCCCCAGGGCAATCTGAGAGAGAGAGCAACTAGGAAGCCACAGTGTCTTTCATGACCTTGTCCCTAGTTGCATGACTGTCAGTTCAACATTTTTCCTATTCATTAGAAATGAAAAGTCCAGCCCCCACTCAAAAACAGGGGAATTAGAGTCCACCTGGGAAGGAAGAATCAAAGAATTTGTAAACAGATTTTAAGTCACTACACATAACACTCACAACATCACTGAAAAGTGACTTGACATAATTATAAAAATTATTTTGGCATGTGAACCCAATTCTCTCCACAAGTCATCACCGGAGGTTAACTGAACTCCAGGTGAGTTTCCGTTCACCCACTGTGACATCTCAGGGGCACAAAGTCCTCAGACCCTCTGGCAGCACAGCTGGCCTGCATCTGTACTCACACAACTTGGTGTAATCAATTCTATTTGTCTAATCAAAAAACTCAGCAGTCAGACCAGCGGGTAAATTAGATGTGCTTAAATAGAATGCTAAATCCTTTTTCGGTTTAATTTCATGTAAAAAAAAAAAAAAAAAAAAACTTTTGAAAACTTGTGACATAAAATATCTCTATTCCATAATGTGTTGGGTTGTGTTTTTTTTTTCCCCCTTCATCCATGAAGAGAGGATGGCTGTGTTCCTGTCCCAGCTCAAGCTGCCAGCAGCAATGTTGGCAGCTCAGGCTCACGGGAGGCCCGGGCCACCAGGAAAGGACGGGTTGCCTGGGCCACCAGGAGACCCTGGACCCCAGGGTAAGTGTGAGTTGGCTTACTCATGTCTTGTCTCTCAGTATTCATAACTTACTCAACACAGTTAATGAAAAAGTTTATCTATGTAACATATAAAAATGGCTTCATATGAAATATCTTACTACATATTCTAGAAGGAGATGCTTAGTTACTACTACTTCAGTTTCAAAACTGACTGATAATCATTTGCTATTCTACATGTATTGTAGTAATAATACCGATTATAACAACAACAGCAGCAATGTGTGCTTATAACCATTGTGACCCAGGAATCTGACAGATTCTTATGCTTCCTTTAGGTGTAAGTCAAACAACAAGGTTCATCATCTTAGTATCTTAAAGAAACTAAGGAAAGAGTCTTAGGAGACTCAACTACAAATGGTCATTTAGTCCTCAAATATACTTTTAAGAAATTATAGAATATTTCTACTTCTAATAGAGTCTGTGGATGATAACTTCCAAACTTTATAGAGTTCATCTTATGATTTCTAAAATTTTAAAAACCAAACGTTGTTTATATTTTTAAAAACATTGTTTCATAAATGACAACAAGAGACATCACCTTAAATAAAGAGGAACTAGATTACTCTGGCAAGGCCATTTTCTTGAAACATGGTCAGCAATCATCAACATGGCCAGACAGGTCCATGTCTAGAAGATTCACAAATCTGGCAAGGAAATATTAAATTTGGGGAGTACATACCTTGAAAGATAAGACCAGAGAAACTGCTTCTTATTGTGACTGTGGAGGAATCAAGTTCCTTCCTTGAAACCATCAAAAGCAGCTTGTATAAAGGAGAAGAGGAAATTAACACAAGAATTAAATAGGAACACAGTCCAAAATAATACATATGCAAGGAATTATTTTCCTTTCACTAGTTCACTCTTCTTCCTCCTTCCTTTCTACAACATTGAGCCTTACTTCCTGGAGGAAGTGTCCAAGATGGTTCCTGACCCTTTCCTGTCTGAGGGCAACACTGGTTCAGCCCCCAGCAAGTGTCTATTAGAACACTAACTTATAGCCATGATTGACAAGTTTTGAGTTTAGCTGGAACATTATAAAACAGCAACAGGAAAATCACTCCGGTTTTCTTAAGTTAAATGTACATTCTACCTTTCTCTTGGATCATAGAGAAGTTGGGCAGATGATTGAAGGAGAGAGAAAAGTGTAGAGTCGAATAGCCTCCCTGCTGTCCAGGAGAGGGCAGTGGAGTATCCACTTTCTTGAGCTGGTCTGTTCTGGAGTCAGAAGGCATGAGACTGGAATGAAGATCTTGAAAGCCCATCTGGCCGGGCTCGGTGGCTCAGCCTGTAATCCTGCGCCTTTGGGAAGCTGAGTTGAGTGGATTGCCTGAGCCCGCGGGTTCGAGACCCACCTGGGCAGGCGAGACCTCATCTCTACAATAAAATCAAAAAATCAGCCGGGCGTGGTAGCGCATGCCTGTAATTCCGGCTACTTGGAAGACTGAGGTGGAAGGATCGCTGGAGCCCAGCAGGTCGAGGCTGCGGTGGCCGGGAGCGGCCACTGCACTCCAGTCTGGGCGACAGAGTGAGACTCCAACTCAAAAAAAAAAAAAAGAAAGCCCATCTGAAGACGTATGAAGCCTCAAACCATATGAAGAATAAGCGCTATTGGTGGGAGTGTAAACTAGTACAACCTCTGGAAATTGGTATGGAGATTTCTCAGAGAACTAAACGTAGATCAACCATTTGGTCCAACAATCCCGCTACTTAGTATCTACCCAAAGAAAAGGAGGTCACTACACAAAAACACACACAATTTATAATTGCAAAGATGTCTAATCAACCTAAGTGCCCACCAACTGCTCAGTAGATAATGAAAATGTGGTATATACGCTCCATGAAATACTATTCAGTCATTAAAAAAAGAATGAAATCATGGCTTTTATAGCAATTTGGAGAGGCTTGGAGAACATCATCCTAAGTGAACTTATGCAGGAACAGAACACCAAACACTACATGTTCTTACTTATAATCAGGAGCTAAACTAAGGATCTGCAAAGGCATAGAGAACAGTATAACGGACACTGAAAACTCAGAATAGGGAGGGGTAAAGGATGAAAAATCACCTGTCTGGGACAATGTACACAGATGGGGGTGGAGGGTACACTTAAAGTCCAGTCTTCTTCACCACCATGTAACGCATCCATGTAACCAAAAATCATGTGTTCCCCATAAGAAATTTAAAAACAATAATAAAAGAGACATTGAATGAGCATTTTAAAAAGAATAAGCTCTGTCAGCACCGACAGAACAACTCTGGACAGATCCTTCAGAGAGTGATTGAGAAGACAGGACCATGGGAAAGGTCATGGTCAAGGAACCAGCTCTGGGCCCGGGTCTGCTGTTCCGCTCAAGCCCTGGCTCCCAACACCCTTGTGACTGCGGGCATGCCCGTCTGCAGGGCTCCTGGTCAGAGGCAATTCTCAGTCAACAATCTCAGCGAAGCTTCTGGAAACAAGACCTCCACTCACCACATGCTTGCCCAGCAGTTTGCAAAAGATTTCTGTGGGGCTGCTCAGCTGTCATGCCTCAGAGATATTACGGGCTACTTGTACTCCTGACGGACTTTTGAGTGTAGTCCTTGAACTTGGAAGATTTCCCCCACGGGATCCCCAACTTTTTGAAAAACCACTAAAATTGTCAAAACTTTTGTCCCACCAGAGGGTTTCTGACAACAGATATATCTTGTCTACAACTCAGGAGTTGTCTCCTTAACCTTTCCATGATACCCTCTTTTCAGTATTTGTTAAATTTGCCAGAAATGCAGAAAAAAACTTGCAAAAAATGAAATTCACTTTTAAGAACTGTGTGTTCACAACCATGCTGTGCTGATAATCCTGTCTAGTGGCACAGAAACCCTACTGAAAAGAAGAATAGCAGCAGGCCGCTGATTTCTGTGCCCTCCAGGAATACAGGAAGAATGGAAGGGTTTTGGTAGATAAATAGGTATGGCACGCCTAGAAGAGAAATTTGTAGCTGCAGCCTCAAAGCTCTGCTCTGCTCCATTTAGAAGTTTTCTCAAAAAGGCAAGAAAAAAATGCATGTGAAACCACTACCTTTATAATCATGCACACCTTGAGCACTGTGGCAAAGTTAGTCCTCATGGCACGTAACTGAGGCTGAGAACCGGCCCAAATGGGTGACATAAGGCAGAAAGGAAAAGGAAACACAGCAGCTCAGTGTGACCCAGTACACTCCACCCGTTCATTCATTCTGTTTGATGGTGGCTCTTCTGAAGTTTCTGGATGAGATACACTTTGTTTTGTTTTTTCAGTGTCTATCAGGATAGCAATCCATTTTTTAATTAATTAATTAATTTATTTATTTATTTATTTATTTATTGAGTTGGAGTCTCACTCACTCAAGCTGGAGTGCAGTGGCATACTCACAGCCACCCCAGCATTGACCTGCTGGGCTCTAGCAATCCTTCCGCCTCAGCCTTCCAAGTAGCCAGAACTACAGGCACACGCTACCATGCCTGGCTAGTTTGGGATTTATTGTAGAGACGAGGTCTCGCCAAGTTGCCCGGGTGGGTCTCCACCCACGGACTCAGGCAATCCACTCGCCTCGGCCTCCCAAAGTGCTGAGATTACAGGCTGAGCCACTGATCCTGGCCCCATTTCATTTAAAATTAAGTGGTTTGAGGCTGGGCGCCATGGCTCACACTGTAATCCCAGAACTTCGGGAGGTCAAAGCAGAAGAAATTCTTGATCCTAGGAGCTTGAGATCAGCCTGGGATGCATAGTAAGATCTCGTCTCTACAAAAATAAAAATAAAATTAAGTGGCTTGGTTTGAAATGTGCACTACAGAATAAGTCCTTGGTTATCTTTAGGGAAGGACAAAATGTCAAGGGGTCTCGCGTTTCCTGTGGTGCTTCTGAGAAGGCAGGAGACATGTAGAAAACACGGAGAAGATCACAGGAGATTGTTAGTGTTGAAAGGAGAGGTGCTGTGCCTCCCAGGATCATGAAGGATTGTTGGGTCCTCTTTGAGCTCCTGATCTTCTTCCAGTGAGAAAGAAGACCATCATGATTCTGAGATGGGTCATCTCATTTGTAATTTTCCTGTTTCCAAAGGGGTAATTACTGATGTCTTTTTAAAATTCAAAAACCTTTCCAGACAGTTTGAGACCTCAGCTACCACTTGGGGTTTTGACGACTGCCTCTCCACTGTGCACCAAGAGGAGAACTTTCTGTGGAGTTCTGAGCACTTACCTGGGGTTGGCAGAGCAGGGCTCGTGGCTGGGCCTCTCATGCCTGAGCTAGAATGCGTTACGTGGGATCAAAGAAACCCTAAGAAACATGACCCATCTGGGTGCCCTGTAGGCACAGGAGGGTGAATTTCCCCAAAAGACCTCATCTTCTGGGGTGAGTCTCATGAGGAAAAATTATAAGGAAACTTCCCAGACATTGCTGATTCTCCATCCCATGGGAACCCCGAGAAATAGATGCACGCTCAGAGCCTTTTCACTTCAGAAAGAACCCTGCCTGTAGAGTTAGGAGGAAAAACCAAACACATTCATCCCGTGGCCGTCCATGGGTTTTAAAAGAGCAGCACTGGGAGTAGTTGTTCTTGTGGACTTTTGAAGTTTAGCTGTTACTGGTTTCTCATAAAAGAAAACCTTCTGTGCAAGGTCTACAGGGTGGTTCATGTGACTGACGGAGATCTGACCCATCACACTTTAGCAGGAGGGGCCTTTGGATACAAGAGGGCATGTGGGTGTCAGAGTGATTGACAGGTGTCACTGTCAATTCGGGGAGGCTGAACGACTTGTAAGGCCTAAGACCAGCTCCCCACATGAAGAATTTGTTGACGAAAGATGCCAAACTCTGTAAAATATTTTAAGCTGGTTTATTCTGGACAATTTGAGTGGCCTAGGCCCGTGACACCAATCCCCGGGCGGTCCTGAGAAACGTGACACCATGGTTATATACAGCTAAGGAGGACAGAAGTTAAATAAATCAATACGTGTGGAATTTTCACTGGTTCTGTCCAGAAAGGTGGGACATTTCCAAGCGGGGACCCAGAGGCTAAAGGTGAATTCAAAGACTTTCTGACTGTTGTGATAGTCGGCAATTTCAACATAGACTCGACTCTTTAGACAGTGTAGTTATCTGAAGAATTGTGAAAGCAGAAAAGGAAATGGGCAGCTGGAGAAAGATCAGGAAGTGAGTTTCTTGACATGTAGATGAAGTCTTATGGGTGATAGTCTTAAAGATGCCAGAGTCCCCAAAAGACAGCTTGAAAGGGTCATAAAATACTTTGATTTTCCTTGTTTCTCTGCCAGAGCCAGGTTGGAGAGTAAATTGCATTAAAAGTTAAGAATTTGGCAATGAAAAGAAAAAAGTCAGAGGTTAGTCATCAAATACCCCTGCTGAAATGCCGGCAGCAGCCCTCTCTGGCCTCCTCTGTCCACTACACATGCAGATGCAGACTTCAAACTCAAGAAGCATATCTCTGGAACAAGAAGCGAAATCTCCCTACTGGAAGAAAACACAGTTGACCACCCAGAGAACTGCACCATGCTCCAAGTCTCGTCAATGACCAGGCCTTCAGGATGCTTTCATTAGGGACACTGCCACTGTGTATATTTGCTTTCCTACATACTCCACAGTGATGTCAAACTGTCGTCCTGCATTTTGATGGTCTATGGAAACATATGTCTGTCTACAGATCAACCAGCCTCTTCCCAATGTAAAGCGAGGCCTGCCCTAGAAAAGGGGAACGCTGTTTCGACTTCATTAGCATTCCCACCAGAAGGTGTATTATGAAGCAATTATACAAGAAGATCCTGTGGCTTCAAGAGCCGTCATCCTGAGTGATCTTGGGACCATGGTAGGAAATTCACAAGTGGAAAGCACTCCTGTGCTTGTGCAATTCTCGGCTTCGTCTGTTAATAACAGGTAGTTATTCACCTAAAGAACTCAGAAGCGGGTACAAAAAATTGTTACATTTGGCAGGAGGAGGGTCAGCATTGTCCAAATTATTGTTTCTTGTTTTGTGAAATCACACGCACTGAAAATCCATGTGGACACCATTTCATTATATTATAATCCGAGAACTAAATTTAGTAGGTGGTTTTAACAGATATATTCTTCATTTGGAATGGTGTTACAGCCTTGTTAATCCTCTTGTTAATAAAAATTTCATATACCTTCAGTTATGATTCTTTCTTCCTCATTTTTCTAGCCTACGATCTTAAGTACTTACTGAGATAGCTCAAGGGTCAGCTTCACAGTCTTTCTGGAATAGTGAGACCCTGATTGAACTCTCAGATATACCTGAGGGAGTAAATGTTATCTCCCTCCATCCATTGTTTAAACAATGGATTTGGAAGGGTGCTTTCAAGTGACCCTACTTGCAGACTTTTTTCCTTATTGTTCACATATGTTAAATGAAAGTCACTTATATCAAAAAACCTGGACATATCTTAAATTTGAGTATATATCAACTTAGGATATCATGCCGCATGTTGAAACCTCTCCTCTCTCTAGGATCTGGAATTGTTTGGAATATCTTTAACCTTATTTTCAAATATAAATATGTGAAAATTTCCTGCTAGATATATTTTCAATGTACACTTTAAAATACGTTTTAACACATATTCCACTATTTTCACATTGATGGTCAGGTCGCACCTCTAAAGTGAAGAAACAACTGTGTGGTGATTATATTGCTGATGTTGTTTGTATAATAATGTGTACGAGCCAGGTGCAGTGTCTTCTTCCTATAATCCCAGCACTTTGGGAGGCCGAGGTGAGAGGATTGCCTGAGGCTACAGGTTAAACACCAGCCTGGGCAACTTGATGAGACCTCATCTCTACAATAAATCAAAAAATTAGCCAGACATGGTGGCACGTGCCTGCAGTTCTGGCTACTTGGAAGGATGAGGTGGAAGGATCGCCTGAGCCCAGCAGGTCACGACTTCAGGCTTCAGTGACTGTGAGCATGCCATTGCACTCCAACTTGAACAACAGAGTAAGACTCCAACTCAAAAAATTAAAAAAATAAATAACGTATATGTTGTATGGCCAAGTCAAAACTGAGAATGGCACCCCCCAAACCAATGTCTTATTCTCAACAATAATAAGAAATAATGTATCATGATGCTGTTCCTAGGGACCATGAAATTTCCTCCTTCCATCATGTTCTGCTGCAGTAACACATCCTATGAAAAGGCACAACTACATTGGGACCTACTGTTTCCTACTGAGATACTCTCCTATTTGCGGTGTGTCTACATGAGCTTGGCTGACTTCTCTGTTCACCTGAAGCCAGGAGCAATTTTCAGCTGCTGTTTAAGTATGAAAAAGTTGAAACAAAAACTCTATTTGCCATCCCTGTGAAACTCTTACAGCTCAGGACATTTTCTTTAAAGCATCTCATGGGTGCTAACATACAAAATACAGATAAGAGGCTTTTTCAAGCAGGGGTAATGACTCTTAGAGGCACAAAGTGCTCTGTTCTGCTCTAGCCTGGGCAACAAGTGTGCTCCAGAGTCAGAATGATCCTGTCTCCAAATGTGCACAGATCTCAGACCCAGTGCATTTTGGTTAAAATATCTGAGTTGATGGCATGCATTTGGGAGAATCCCATGTCTACTCCTGTTTGTTGAAGGTCCTCGGGAGACACAAACTGCCGTGTTAGAACACGGGGTGGCATTTACACGACTTAGAAAGGAAATAGTGTTGTGATAGTCGGCAATTTCAACATAAACTCGACTCTTTAGATGAGTTAACTCACCTATACTCAGACTCCTGCTATCACTTATTAAAACCATGACTTGTTTATTCCTTTCATTTATTTCCTTTAACTCTTGGACTAAGGTCCCTATTCTTTTTAAATTTTTTTTTTTGAGTTGGAGTCTCACTCCGTCACCCCAGCTGGAATGCAGTGGCCCACTCACGGCCACCCCCATATCGACCTGGTAGGCACCAGCGATCCGTCCACCTCAGCCTTCCAAGTAGCTGGAACTACAAGTGCGCACTACTACGCCCAGCTACTTTTTCAATTTATTGTAGAGATGAGGTCTCACCAAGTTGCCCAAGCTGTTCTCGAACCAGTAGGCTCAAGCAATCCTCTCATCTTGGCCTCCCAAAGTGCTGGGATTACAAGCTTGGGCCACTGCGCCAGGCCCCTATTCTTATCACACTGTCTGGACCTCATTCTAAGCAGAACTGTCTCGGTATACTCCTGTTATTTAGCCTGTGCTTGCTTTTCTTTTGGTCAGAGTTCCCTTCGACAAGAGCTCAGACGCGGTGTCATAGCTATTTGAAAGAAAGTATGAATGATTTGAGTTATTTAGGTGTCATTTTCAGCACCAAAAATCTCACAATGCAGATGTGATTGGTTGGCACTTTTGTGTGTTTTTAAACTCCTCTTTGTTCTCTGGTACCCAATCTGTTGGATATGTAAGCTAAATACGGTGAACACAAAGCCTCACAGATACCATATTTACGTCAAGTGAAGGAATCACATAAATATCATAGATTCAGTGCATGAGTCCTGAGTGTGCTATGCTGCCACAGAACATTCACCTTTTTATCTCTCTTTTGCTACATCTCTCACTTAGGCTACCGAGGACAGAAGGGAGAAAGGGGTGAACCTGGAATTGGGCTACCGGGAAGTCCTGGTCTTCCTGGGACCTCAGGTAAGAGTCAAGTGATCTTTGCCACACAACACACCTTTACAAAGAGAACCGTGCTGTTCCCCCCATGCCCTTTGTGTGGCCAGCTGAACGATCTACATTAGTCAGTGGGAGGGAGGAGGAGGGGGATGGAAGGGAGGGGGAAGGAGAGAAGGAAGGAGGGATGGAGAAAGAGTGAGGGGTAGGGAGGGTCCTGTTGACTTGCATTTTGATGGAGTCTTTTATTTTGTTAGCCCTGGGTTTGCCAGGTTCACCAGGTGCCCCAGGGCCCCAGGGCCCTCCAGGACCCGGTGGAAGATGCAATCCTGAAGACTGCCTCTATCCTGCACCTCATGCCCCCCAGCGGGCAGGTGGAAAGTGACACACCTAAGAAGGCTTGGCTTCTGCCGCACCAGCCTTGTATTGGCGCTGTCTTAACACTATCAAGCCTTCAGACACGTGGGCGCTCTTTTTTCCTTTCTTTCTTTCTTTCTTTCTTTATTTTTTGATGTAGGCCAGACATGAAAAGCAAAAGCAACCATTGAATCCTATCTTTATAAGTAATTGCAAATCAGCATTTTCAGATTTTTCCCAAAATTCATTCCAGATGTTTTGCTTTACATTACTATAAATTGTATTCAGAGTTTTATATGAAATATGCAAGTAGATCTCACCATTAGTTCTTCTTCAAAAGGAAATTGCATCTTATGATTTAGTAGACGGATGATGAGATCCATTTCGCAGACTCATCAACATGTGGTTGGCCTTTGATTTCTGAAATTTAAAGTTTCAAACATCTTGGAAGTTTTCTTGGTGTTTAAATTTACTATCATTACTAGAAATTTTGTCAATACTTTTGATACAGGGCGTAGCTCCTGTTGAATGTTTTTTGATGACTTTTTATAACTTAAGAATTCTCTCACCATCCTCCATCCATCCCGCTTGTGCAGAAAAATAGATAGCAAGAGTTTCACTTTATGATTTGTGATTTGGAGAAAACACAGGATACTGTTTTGTCAGAGAGCCCAAAGCCTGCCCTAGCCTACTCCTGAGTGACTCTGTTCATTCTGAGTGATGAACTCGTTCACAGCAGTCACCATGTCGAAGTATGTTCCACATGGAAAGGACCATCAAGTCCTGCTGCGCACAGGTTCCATAAGAAGAACCCAAGGCCACAGACCCCTGGCGAGTCTCCCAGTTGGAAGACACAACACTGCTCTCCATGAGGTGTCTGGGGTGGAGAGGCCGAGCTGCCAGTGTGTCTCTTGAAGCTTCAGTGGCCTCAAAGGAGCATTGGGCCCTGTGTCCATTGTCCTGACCTCACTCCCCTCAGACTCTAAGATAAGAACAAAGAATGCAAGGCAACCAGAAAAGACACGTGCCCACCCTGGAGGATGAGTGTGGGTGTCAGCAGATACGTGTTCAGAAGGTGAGGCCCATGTTCCCCAGGAGAATAACATTTCTCCAGAAGCTCCAGCATGGGGAGTGGCTCAGCCAAGAACCTCCGGATGGAACACCCACCCAGCACTCAGACCAGGAAGTCCACCCGCATCCAAGCCACGTCCTCAGGAAAGCAACATCAGCATTTCTGTGGACTAGCTAGTCATTGTCTTGAGGAGCTGTGGGTTGACAGATGCCTTTCAGAATACTGGGCATGAGGTGTTACAGAAGGCTAAGGGGTGGGAGCTGGAAGTGCTGAGAGCATGTCACCAGCGCCTCCCACCAAGGGCTCACACGCGTTCAAGGAGCAGAGAAACTAAAATAGGATAGGACGGTTGCTTTTGTCTAACTGAAAAGTGCGTCTGGAATTGGAGAAAGCGATGAACAGAGCTGTGTAGAGAATTGTGACTGGCTGGAGGCAGGGCTGATTCAAATGCACACTGATGGGAACTGTTGTTTACACTAGATGCATCAACTGCTGGTCAGGTCCTGTCCACAGCACCTGTTAGCCTTCTGTTATTCACATCGAATTATGCTGTATATTTCAGTTCCAAGTTTATTTATTTTATTTTCCAAGGTCATTTTATTTATTTGAAGGATTTTTAATTTTAAATTGGTTTTCTTTCTTTTTCTTTCTTGTGCAATACCTACAATGGTGCTGTGTTTTAAACTTACACAATTGGAATATACATATGTGTTTTCTTAGTAAAAAGATCATTTATCTTGAAAAAGTGTACATAGATCTAAAATCTGGTGCTATGTGTATATCTCGAGCTTTTAATTTGTTGAATATTCTGAAAGCTTACAACTTACCTGCCACTCATATTAACTTACTTGAATTTATCATAAAGCTAAACATTTTATATATTTTCAATGATTATTTTTTCATAGTAATTGATAGGTTGTTTAGTTTTTTGCCTCTGCTAATTTAAAAGTATTTCTTTCATCGTTTCATTGTTTTCATGAACTTTTTTGTTGATGATTGGTGGTTTTGGGGGGTTTTTTTAGTTGATGCTTTCATAGACATAAAAAGACACAACTTATTTTTTGTTTTATAAATTATAGTTTATTTTTATTCTACAAAATACATCATGCATCCTTTCTTACAATTTTTTTTTCTAAATTCTGTGAATGCTTGACTGGTATATTCCTTTTTCTAGGATTTGGATTTATTCAGGTACTTTGAGAAGGAGAGTGAAGAATATAATGTTATATGACGCATGTGACACAGCTGAACAGCCACAGTGACACAAGCTCATTTGTTGTAATTGAGTCATGTGACTGAATTTGCCATAACTTGAGAAGCAGGGCTGTCTCTCATGGGGCCAGCCTTTCTACCCTGCTCTGGTACCTACCTGAAAATGCTTTTCCTGCCTCAACTGCTTGGCCATGACATGCAACACGGGGTGGCAGGAAATGCCGGGTTCAACCAATCAACCCCAGAAAGAGGGAAACTTGGCGGGTGCCCAATTCCTTTCATAAGAAAGTGAAATTTGTGCCCAAAGTTGGGTGGAAAACTTTCCTCCGTATAACTTGGTGTACCATTTTATTCCATTCCAAAACATTTGTTTATTTCCACATAGATATCAGTGATGTCCATGGAAGAGGAGAAGAATTATCAAATTTCATGAATTATCTTTTGCTTGCACTCCAGACAACATAAGTGTTTAAACACAAAATAATTACAGGTGGTGATGACCATTAATAGTAAAGTTGTGTTTTCCATGTACAAGCATGTTTGAATTCAGTCTCACATTTTATACCAAGATCAATTAACGCTTTCAGATAGAAGTCTTTCTAGGCAAAGAGCAAGGTATGACTTCAATGATTATTTATGGGCTTTGGAATCTAAAGAAAAAAAGAATAATTCATGAATTTGTTCATTGTTCTCACCAACTAAAGACATTGACCATGACTTCTAACTATACAGAAACACAGCCAGTCTTAGTCTCCTAATTTATTCACCCCATGTTTGTTTTCATATTTCATAGCATTGTTGAAACTAAAAATATTTAGTCACTTACAGAGCTTAAGTAATTATCTTGAGATATGTTGTCTGTAACAATGTCATTTGATATTTGGCCTTTAAAGTAATTTTTTTATGGTATGTTTTAGGAGTGAAATAAGATTTCGCTGTTCCATATTTTCTCTCCTGTTGGGGCTTGCGATATACCTCCTTTTGTCCACAAGATGGTGTTTAAAGCAGTTTGTTCAGAAGAATTGAACAGACAGAAATAAGAGGCCAGGAACAGTTTGGTGGACATCTAAATCACACCCCTGCCCTTGCACTTTTTTTTTTACTTTTGTAAATAATTTTTGTTTATCTGTTTTGTTAATGTATGTTTTTCCTAATTTTAAGCATCTTTATGAAGCAGGTGCTCTACCCTTTGATTTGCTGACGGTTTCTATTGCATTTCTTCAGTGGATATATATGTGTAGATATACTACTTATATTCCTAATGTGCAGGTTGACTGCTTGTGACTTTGTACACTGCCCTCACATTTTAGTGCTCTCTATGAAGACACCTAGTTAAACATCTACCTTTTAGACAGGACAAATACTCTCTTTTGACAGACAAGTCACTTATCACCAGTAGGCCATTTATACAATTACATGATGTCTACACTCTATGTTGTTCAATGTACTGCAAATTTTGCAATTAGATTTGTATGATGTTTATATTTTTCTAGAAATACATCACTATTTACAAAAGTAAGATTTGGAACACCATTTTTCAAAATATCATTCTTATTTTTCTAACATTAATAGCCCTGACCTGAGATTGAGAGTTTCTGGGTCGAGTGTTACACTGAGGCTGTTTTCAGGAACATTTGGAAGCAAGCTGTGGATGCTCGCAGCTCCTCTTCTTATTGTTCACACTTGCCTGTGTCCGCCTTCCTGAGACCCCCAGATGTTTGCTGTCATGGCTTCCAGTGTTGTTTTGTGAAGCTTCTGTGTTGAAGCCCTTTCTGCCAACTCCTCACAGAGATGGCACAGGCTTCTACGGGGAGATGCAGGGGAAAATGGAATCTGGACCTTCTGTGTCTATGCGGTTCAAAGAGACTCAGCCCACTGAACCATTTTCATTCATTCGTTGAGTGATAAAAGCAGTGGTAATTCTGTTAAATGTGTTCACCTGCTAAAAGTCTCAAGAATAGGAAAAGGGAGTGTCTTCATGTTACCACGTACAGCTATAGCTAGGCTCCAAACACTCACTCAAGCTCAAGTCACGGACCCATTTGGTCCCATTCTCCAGATGAACACGGAGAAAACTCGTGCAGACACATCGACCTAGATGGCAGGGAGTCACCTGAGTGATGAGACAAGCTTATACAACTGAAGTTAAGTCTAAGAAAATAAAAATGGAAAAAATGGTGCTTAAGTTCAGACCAACAGTGAGTGACACAGGGTAGAACTCCAGGAGTTAGTTAATTATCCCCCACATTTATCAAAAACGAACATGAATAAAGTGGGGGTTGCACTAAACTTAGGGGGTAGTCCCATAAGGCTTAAGATTATCGTGTGTGTGTGTGTGTGTATGTGTGTGTGTGTGTGTGTGTGTGTTACTTGACCATAATAAGCTTATGGCTGTCAAGATGCTGTTTTGCAACTTTTTATTTTGCTGTGTTATTTAAAGTATATTTTAGGTATAAATATGTTTCATTGTATCAATGTATTTAAACTCAGATTGTATTAGTACTTTATAACTATTTATTTTTAAGATGACATTTAGGATACATTTTCCCCCACTCTCTATCTTACCTCATCAAGCTCTCCAAGGTCTAACTCAATACTCTCATGTTAAGCGGAATGGCACTAGCTTTACTCAACCCCACAGGGTTTGAGGTCTTGGTTCCTAGATGTTCAGTGTTCTTCACGTACATTTAGCCTGTCACCAATCTCAGCAATAAAAGGCTTGACCTTAAGTCAGGGAATGCTAAGATGCAGTTGTGAAGGCCATACTACTCTTCGTTACTTCTTGTGTTAAAGTTCCAAACTCAAGTTCTGTTCTGTTGTGTGTCAACCACAGGGATGCCCTACAAGCAGTTCCATGCCATGGTGAGGCACAGGTATCCCAGGGTCCTGTGACTGGTCTATTTCAGGGCTTATGTTTCCCTGTGCCAAGCAACACAGCTTTGTGTGTTCATGAACCATTGTTTGGCGTGTAGTATTAAGTCTATAAGCCATCTCACTGGCAACTCCTAAAAAACCTAGTCTATTGAGAATCTTAGCAGAAACAAAAGTCAGAGAGTGGCCCCCAAAGTGATTGCCTCACTGAACTCATTTGAGACTTATTGCTGTAGAGGTCTCTGAGTGAGATAAGAAACATCACAATCTACTTTTCTTATAAATATAAGCTCTTACATCACTAGCGATAAGAAAATCGGCAATAAGTAGTTAAACACATGGTGTGTTTTCTTAACAGAAATTTACTGCATCAAACAAGCCAGTGAGTTTCTATGTCTATTTATACTGGGTAATGACTTAAATCATTCTTCCCTATTCTTATACTCAGGTCTCCTTCTGATACATTGGCCAGGTGCTTTCTGAGGAACATCGTTGTCTCTGCACATACACATACACATTTTTGGAGGCAAAAAACACATTCAAATAAATCTTGAAAAGAAAGTGAGTTTCTTGGAGACAACTTCCTTCATTGACTCTCTCCAGTTGTTCTTAGGTAACGTGGAGTCAAGGGTTGTTGAACAGAAGTGAGCATGAACTGCATTTGTTCCAACCAAAAATAATTCAGCCAGCATCCTCATCCCGATAGCCAGTGCCAAGTGTGGTACACTTCCTCAAGCTAGCTGGGCCGGAACACATGAGCGTTGTCTGTAGGCAGACATGATTGCAGTCAGCCCGTCTTTCCTGAGCCATATGTGCTTAATCGTGCCATGTCCTGCGTCACGAGGTCACTAAAAAAGACCAAGTGCACAATTTAAAAATATTTATTTTACTGTATGAAAAAAGTCTTCCCCTACATTGTTGGACACAAATATTCTTTTTTAAAAAAAGATGTTTAAAATCATTTATGTCAGCTACCCATCTGTAAGCAGCACGACCGCTAGTTTGTTGAAATTTTTTTTTCTTTTTTTGCTCCTTTTGCCAGGGTGCCAGCAAGTATTTCAAAGTAATTTTCTTGGTATTTTGAATGATTTTATGAATTTCTGTTGATTTTCCACCTATGTTGGTTTATTTTTAAACTCAGAGACTGTATACCTCGGAAACACTACCATAGCCAAAACATTAAGTAATATAATCAGAGGTTATTTTCTAAAGCAGGGATTTATATCAAGTTTATTTCAGGTGGCAAATAAATTGGATTTTACTAGCAGTGTTTACAAATATCAATATTGGCTATCAGCTTGAAATATAAAGCATCCAAAAATAATCAAATCAGTCATCTAACCTGATATGACAATTCATTTGTACTCCTCCAATAGACAGATGCCAATTGTCCAAAACCATGTCAGGGAATGTATGTGATCAAGTAGACTTGGGAGGTGATTTCCATAGTTCTTAACCCATCAGATATTTGGGAGGAAAATCATATACTGCCACAGGAGCACTGACTAGAAAGAAATCAGAAATCATATGCCCTTGTTAGCATGCCTGTTTCTAACCAATTTTAATCATTTACATGTTTTTCTCTCCATAAGTGCTCCAGCTGACACTTCATCCAACTTTTAAAAATACCTCAAAGAGGATTTGGAGACTTCTCTTTTCTAGCAAGACACACTTGGTCAGATTCAATATTTATCAGCTTTTTCAGGGAGAGAATTTGCTGGGCACTTTTCTTTGCAATTTCCAGGTCAAGTATCTGCTGCTTCGGTAACCCATTTCACTTAACTGACAGGTATCCTGGATGGGTCGCACCATGGGAATGCTGGCGTTTTGCATAGTCTGTTGTCCCAGCATTGCTTACCATGCCTTGGAGCTTGTTGTACAGCCTCTGTATCCATCAAGTTTGCAAAACTGTTGAGTGAACTTTACTTTGAAATTTTATTTTTTTTATTTTTCTTATAAATATATTATAGAACTTAGAAACATTTGTTTTATTATCTAATTTTTCTTTTGTTGTATTTGATGATGTCACCCCAGTTAAAATAAAAGCACTTTGGTGGAAAGACCATTTCTTTGATCATTTATTTGATTATGTGTCTGTCACAGCTCCTGAAGAAAATGGCCACTCTTGTAATGATTATTTTAGGGAACTATAACTGATACCACTATTTCCAAAAATCATCTTCAACAACAAGAGGAAGGACCACCTCTTAGTCTGTGTAAACAGCCCTGATCTGTGTACCCAAGTTGAAGTCTTTCACCTGAAGCACAATTCATGCTAGAAACACAAAACTAGATGCTGCAAGCAGTCTTTGTGACTACATAAATAGTAATAATGTGCTTGAGTGGTCAGAAGACACCTACCTTATTGTTAAGAATGGAGTGCTGGCTGGGAGCAGTGGCTCAAACCTATAATCTCAGCACTTTGGGAGGCCGAGGCGAGAGGGTTGCCTGAGCCCACAGGTTCAAGACCAGCCTGGGCAACATGGTGAGACCTCGTCTCTACAATAAAAATCAAAAAATTAGTCGGGCATGGTAGCACATGCCTATAGTTCCGGCAACTTGGAAGACTGAGGCCAAAGGATCACCGGAGCCCAGCAAGTCCATCCTGGGGTGGCCGTGAGCGTGGCCCAAAAAACTCAAAAAAGAGAAAAGAATGCAGCACTTTACTGAACTGTCTTTATAAAATGTATAAGAAATGGTAAAACATAAGTCATTTTTGCAGCAGTCAAGTTTTGAGGAGGAGAGAGCCATCAAACCACTGGAATGAAGGCAGTGGCTCTTAACAAAGCAAGGCTATTTTTAAAAGAGTCCAGAAATCTCTGAAACGCTATACAACAGTGTATATATACATTTGTGCATTTTTTCTGAAACATAGGTCTGTAGCTTTCATTACAATTTCAAAAAGATCCATGAAGCTTTCCCCATAAGCATACAAACACCCTAACACACACACACACACACACACACACACACACACACACACACACACACACACACACACACTGCCTGTAAAGGTAATACTCTCTGTGGAATAGTAAGGGCTTTATAATTACTCTTTGTGGAAAAAAACACTAATATTATAAACACACACCTATAGAACTACCAGTATTTAAAACTGTTTAATGTATCCAAATAAACTCAGGGACTTCTTTTCATTGAACGGGTTATTTATAAGAAAGCATGCAAGAGATTAAGAAACCATATTTATTTCTTCTTTGGTACAATCAGAGATGTGACCTCAAACCTTTAAAATAAATAATCTCATCAATAAAATTTATGAATGCCAGAGTATAAAAACTCCTTCTTTGCTTTCACATAAAAGAGTTCCAAATATTAACAGGTTTGGGGTACAGTACAAACAGTTAAACAAAAATTCAGGCTGAGGATGAAAACCAACATGTGACATAAGGAAGTCATTTGGGGTGACGCAGCCCTGTCTGTCCCCGAGACAGCACATTGATGGGATTTGAAGCACCAATTCTATTAAATATAGTGGGGTTTCTTCACAACTAGTCTAGTAACCCTCTATATAACCAAAACAATAATCTGAGAACAACAGCTAAAGAAAAATGAAAATAGCTACTGCAACTGAGGTAAACCAAACAGTTGTCTGTGTTTATTGGCACCATGGCCGCAGCTCACATGGTATAGCACGCTAAGTTCAAGATCCTGGGACAGGACTCTACATTTATTTAAAGGAGGTGTTTGGGTTTTTACCGATGACTCTGCTGTCCCCCGCCCCGCCAAGGAGGGAGGACATCTTGAACAGCACCATTCTTCTGAGTCTGAGTATCAGGTAGGACGGCTGTGTCGTGCAGGCACTCCCGGTGGCAATCCTCTTCCAGCTCTTCCACCTGCCAGGCGTGGTCCATGCAGGGAGCCCCGTGGCACCCAGCCTCTCACGGGTCGGGCCCTTTGCTGAACGCCCGTTGCCCAGCCTGCACGGTACAGGAGGCCGGCTCACAGAATCCAGGGGGCCCAGGTGGACCTGGGGGCCCGGGCACACCAGGAATTCCTGCCACTCCTGGGGGGCCTGGCTCCCCATCCCGGCCATTCCTCCCGTAGCTGGCAGGGCCTGGATCACCTGAAACACACAAAGGAGTGCACATGTGAGCAGGGGAATCCTCGTGGCTGCATACCGGCAGGAGGCATTGGGGCCAAAAGTCAAGCAGTCTGCAGGTGAGAGGCTACATAGACACTTCTAGAGATGATGATGATGATGATGATGAAATCTCTCCATTGGACGCGTGTTTCACAAAAAGTAAAAGTAGAAAGAGACTTCGTCTCTGACCCCATTTCCACAGGAGTGCTGCCCTGACCCGAGGGTGGTCCCCAGCCATGTGTCCCCAAGCCTTGGACGTGGCCAGATGGAGATGCACTGTGAGCATACAACCTGGACTTGAGCGACTTGGTATGAAAAAAGTGTAAGAGATTTCACTGATAATTTCTTAGTCGATTACATGATAAAATGATATTTTGCACAAAGGGGGTTAAATAAACTACATTATTCAAACTCACTTCAATCTATTATTTTTTACCTTTTTACCTTCTTAAAGCCGCTACAGGAGGAGCTCACATAGTACTTTTTTTGAGCAGTGTGGGGGTAGCACTTTGCTTATTTCCAACAGCTGAGCAACCACTGGGCAGCCGGGAGGGTCGCACATGGTTACGGACACAGATGGCATAATGCCTTTCTTATCACTAAATCCTGTGATTGAAAGCACCTGGAAAATGAAGACTGCTATTACAACTATTAAGGTATTCTTGAGCTACTTCTTTTTTTTT